ACTTAGTACACTACACTGCAATACAATCCAATAAACGGTTAAACGGTTCGCTTGGAGAGCCATAGACAACAATATTCTAGTCTTTGCAGACATAATATTATGAAATGGAAATCCCAAAATGGCCGCTTATAATTAATATCATTGCCCAAAAACGGATAGATTGACAAGATTAGAAACATCCAAAACGTTAATTCGTCCTCCTCGCATTTCCCAGCAATGAGGTCTACGTACCTGCAAGGTATAAGAATATCGATAGGTTGATGGTGGATTCAATTTAAACGGTTTTTGCACAATGTATTGACGTATGCGATCACAATTGTTTTATCAACTTATCGTCCCAACATCTCCACATGACATTGCTACAATTGCATTTAGCTGATATTAAAAAATCAGAGGTTGAAGATTTGGGACTTCATAACTTTTGAGTAGTAATTTTTAAAAACTTGTTTTTTCATATTAGTAATCATGAGTTGTATACGTAGGCCTTGCAGAGCAAAACTCACTGATGAACAATAAATGAAAAATTCTTTCCTCAAAATGTGGCACTGGATATATCCAAAAGGAGATTAGATCCATTGAAAATGGACCTCAGAAATGAATTCCTCTTGAACAATTGAGGAAGATAGTATACTGATCTCAAAACCTGCAAAGTTGAGATATAACAATGTAGAAATAATGGGACATTGTGTCATCTCCACTCATCAACAATCTAGTCTGATCCAAACACTCAATCATTATTCTGGCACACAATCCATCTTTTAGGATCGAAATAAACCAAGAGTAGATCTAGGTCTTAATGTTTTACGAGGCTCAAACTTGTTGATGCGTCAAGGTACTTCATTCAAATTAGTTCCAAACATTTCTGCAATTTAAACGCCTAACCATCGACAACGTACGGTGGCAAAATTTAGCGGTGTACACTTTAGATGTACGTTGTCAAGCATTGAAGCAAACTCAGTGATTTGAAGCAAAAACTATGATATAGGTTTTAAAAAAATTATATGAGATAAATTTATTTATCTATTGATCAGTGCTCGAGTTTTTCTTTGGTAATTCCATATAATTGGCCGGTTGGGAAATGATGGTTTTATTCACATTTCCATTGATCACATCTTCCCCTGCCGTCTGAGATTGTCGATTATTTTTAAAAGAATATGTTTCTCTGAACCATACAATTTAGGTTGGTTGGTGATTTAATAAATATTTACGTATTGGCTATAATTCTAAAAATCAGATCTAGAAGTGTATGTTGTCAACTCGACTGTACGTTGTTAATCCGACTGACGTTAGAAAGAATACCATTAAGAGCCTCATTTTAGCAGGCAATATAGTGAAATCTTGGCTCTCTGGCATTCGCCCCCTGGATCAATATTCCACTATATTTGAAGTGAGGTTATGGCATATTAATCCCAAAGGGATAATGAAAGATAATAAAAAATCTTTTAAGAAGATTGTATGATCAAAAGCTTAAACGCTTTCCAATCAAAACATATTTTCAATAAGGTCAAATAAACGTTACCCATACCGGAGTTCTAAATTTGCATAGACCGCCATCTAAAAAGAGAGTAAATATCAGACTATGAACCACAAATAGAACTGGCAAAATTGAAATGATTATATCAGGATTATGTTTTGGATTAACGGACGAAATATCGTACTAAACATGTTTATATGTCGATAATTATTATAGTTATATTATCAAATATTTTTTGTTTCTTTTAAATGTGTCAACGTACAATCGAGTTGACAACGTACAGTAACTATTTTTTGTTATAGCATTCAAAATAAAAATAGTGGTTTGCATTATTACAACAGGGATAATTTTATACTTATATTCAGTTGTGTAAGTCGTAGTTTGACTATAACTTCAATAAAAATCGAAAATTTGGAGACCACCGATGGGTTGCGTGGAGCTATACGAATATAATAGAGTTGTTGAAGATCATTTTAAGAGGATATGCATATTCAATACTTAATAGCAGAAAGCATGTAACACATACTTGGTTGTGAACTGACTCAATAATGTTTAAAGCATTTAGCTATTTTTACCTCGTCCATCATTCGACAAAATGGTCGAAAATGGCGGAAATGACAACGTACGGCTAAGGTATACACCCGTATATTTTGTCACTGTACGTTGTCGATGGTTAAGCGTGATTTATGATAAAATGGCTCTGCTGTGAATTCTCGTTTTTTAAATCATGAAATGTAATTTTGAATGAATAGACTATATTTTCAAACTTAACTTTTCGCGTTTATTTCATAAATATCTACATGGACCTATATAGAGCTTCAATTGCCCCCTCGTTCGTGTTCAGATTAGGAGGTGTTCACATTTCGAGTTTTTGCATTCGCGACTTCTGGATTTGAAGAAATGTGAACATTTTCGACAAATATTTATAATGCCTTTGACCAGATAGCTTTATGATTTGAAAATTCGATTCAAATGAATTCAGTCATGCTGGGACGTTCCATTTTCATCGTGACAATATTTGAGCAATTTTGCATGAAACATAATTGTGAAATTCTTTGAAAAGTTTTCAGATTGGTCAGGTTAATTTTTCAAATAAGCCTGTTCACTATTCAAATCCAGAGGTGTTCACATTTCAAGGCTTTTTTAACAAGGGAGTCAATGGGAGGAAAAAAGGGACCAAAAAGTGTTCAGATTGGAAGGTGTTTCGGATTAGTCAGGTGTTCGGATATAGGTTTTACTGTAGATACAATTCGAGTGTCAGGGACTGGTAAATAGAAGGAAGCAAAATCAAACAATTGAAAAGGGTAGATCATCACTAACATCCTTGACACAGAATTACTTCCGTCAAGGATACTGCTAATTTATACATTTTCTGTTTACTTGTTACTTATATAAAGTAATCTAGATTGGACACTGATCAAGTTTATCTACTTATAAGAGGGTTAATTGAGACATGGTAACACATATGTTATCATTTCAAAGGCCAAAGTATAAAATAAATAACATTACTCTAACATTTACTTATAATTAGACACATTAATTCAATCACACGCGAGTTGTCGAGTGTTCAGGTTAGAATACAATGTATATCGGATATCTTGTTAAACTAACCGTAAGTCTCTCATTTATAATTCATGATCACCGATCGTTTTCTATCTCCTATGATTACAAATGATGACATATAAAGCATCCGAAATGACTGTATTCACGCCTTCTATAAACTGTAAACAAAGTCAATATTTCACCCGGGGTATATTCGCGAACAATACACCTGGTAATACGTGTAATGTCATGTGTATGACGTCATAACGGCGTGTCGTAGTAATGGCGAACCATAATGAATATTCGAACATGACTGTATTCACGCCTTCTAGCATTCTATAAACTGTAAACAAAGTCAACATTTCACCCGGGGTATATTCGCGAAGAATACCCCTGGTAATACGTGTAATGTGTGACGTCATAACGGCGGGTAGCAGTAATGGCGGACCATAATGAATATTCGAAACATTTTGGTGAGTTTTCATGTTCGAATCGTACACCCGTTAGGGCTAGGCACAAAAGCTTTCGAACAGTTCATAGAAGGCGTGAATACAGTCATGTTCGAATCTAAAATAAATTCGAATATGACTGTATTCACTCCTTCTATAAACTGTAAACAAAGTCAACATTTCACCCGGGGTATATTCGCGAAGAATACCCCTGGTAATACGTGTAATGTTTGACGTCATAACGGCGGGTAGCAGTAATGGCGGACCATAATAAATATTCGAAACATTTTGGTGAGTTTTCATGTTCGAATCGTACACCCTTTAGGGCTAGGCACAAAAGCTTTCGAACAGTTCATAGAAGGCGTGAATACAGTCATGTTCGAATCTAAAATAAATTCGAATATGACTGTATTCACTCCTTCTATAAACTGTTAACAAAGTCAACATTTCATCCGGGGTGTATTTGTGAACAATGCCCCTGGTACGTGTAATGTGTGACGTCATAACGGCGGACCGTAGAAATGGCGGCCCATAATGAATATTCGAAATATTTTGGTGAATTTTCATGTTCGAATCGTAATAAAGACCTCAGAGCAGGTGTAATATCGTCCAATACACCCCTTAGGACCAGGCACAAAATCTTTCGATCAGAAAACGTTTGTGCCTAGCCCAGCGGGGTATATTCCACAATATTGCCCTTGCTCTTCGGTCTGTATTTCTTAAATACATACAGACTGATTTCTGTTCCAGTATGTAAAATGTCTATGGGTGTTTGAGGTCTGTCGAGACGTGAATGAAAAACATTGGGTTAATCATGTAATCATGGCTTTTCATTTAAAAATCAGATGCAAATATATTGTTCAATTGTTCTATCGTGAGCGGTAGCCTATATATAACAAGTATACCCTCCCCTCACCCCCAACCCATGTGTACTAATACTATAGCAACGATATAACCCACAATATGTATATGATTACGAATTATATAAGTATACTGAAGGTTTTTGAATTGAAGCATAAATAAACAAAAATACACAAACATTTTAGCAAGAATACCCCAATAATTTTTCTGCAAGAAAACAACAATTTATGGCTTTTTGACGAGTCTCATATTACGGTTGCCAAGTTTTTAACTGTTTAAAACTTGTCTGTTCTACAAATCTACAAAAATAACAGCTTAAATCAATGACGTTTTTTGAAACTCAAAATAGTTTTCATGAGCAAAATTTTGTAGTAATTACAGGGTATATAGACAGTCCTTAGAGGCAGAATCAGATCTTTAGCTATAGGTGTCATATTATAATATAATGATTAATTAATTATAATGACAAATTTGCAAAGAACATGTACAATTGACCTTCCTTCTAAAAAATGAACATAACAAGGATGATAGGAGCCCACAATATTCTAAAATTGGAACGATTTTTGGTTAAGCCCAGTCGCTAGATCTGAAGATGAAGCTCTCTTTTAAGAAGCGAAGTCAAACGAATGCAAATGGTACTTTTTCGGATAGTTTATTATAAAAACAGAATATATGAGACATAACAACAAATATAAAGCAAGTTATAAAAATGGTATAGAAAAATGTATAAAGCAAAAAATACTGCAAATGTGCATCGTTTCTGTCCAGACTAATATCATCATTGTCAATTCCAAATCAGTTCATTAATCATTAATGTTTAGTGGCACCCTCGAACATTTCGAGGAAAGTCGCAAAGTTTTCGTCGAGGGTTGAAAACGGTTCCTGGTGCACAATTTCGATGGAAAGACCGAATGTAGCGATTCCTGATGTAAACACATTGATAATACTTGGAACAGTTATTTGGATCGGGGTATAGCGGTGCCCTCTGGCGGAAGCGGGGACATTCGAAGCGCACTCTGGATGTGGTTGTCCCGATTGATGGAGTAGTCAATTCAATGGTCGATTGAGCAGTCGGCCTTTCAGTGCTCTCCTGAGTGGTTGATGGCAATTTTGATGACCTGGACAGCGTAGGGGTTACTGGTAGAAGACTAGTATTTGGTTTGTGACTAGTAGAGGCAATAGTGGCTGGGAATGTTGTACTTCTGTCTCCTTGTGTCGGTCGTATGGTAGTAGAAGTACCTCCAGATTGGCCATTCAACACTGAGTTGATTCTTTTGAGAAGAGGGTATTTTCCTTGATTGCAGTATCTGCCTTGGAAATCGTCGAAATCTAACGCCCAAACCATTGCCCCTCCCAAGTTGTTCCGCATCAAATATGCTGTCTGAAAAGGTGATGTATGTGGTCTTAAACAGTATTCAACACCAGCACGCATAGAAATGGTCAATTGCTATTGCTTACTTACATCTATTTGAAATCAAAAATGTTTCTCCATAGTCTAACGTACCTTCTCTGCGATACTCTGGGGATCATCGTAGCCGACCCATTGTTTTCCACGATGAGCATAAGGAACACGCTGTTCGTCGTGCCATCTTTTGGTCCAGCCACTGGAAACTTTCTGACATATCTAAAATATAGCATGGTTTATTTCAATTAAAAGAGAAATGTTCGATTTAAAGAGGTCATTATAAGTATTGTACTCAATCATTAGCCTTTGTTATAAGATACATAGGGGTTCTAGGAAACTAATGTTGGACCTTACTAACTTTTTACCGAAATGTCACTGGAGGATCTACAGTATAGATTGATCTTCGGGGTTAATGATGTTCAGTATTACCTCATAATACGACAAAATCCCAGCTTGTCTGGTAAATTGTCCTGCAGTTCCGGGTCCTGTTGTTCGTTTTCCAAGTTGGAAGTTGGCACTGTTTGCCAGGGTGAATGATCTTCCATACAATGCCATTCCTAGGATCAGTTTACTTCTTTCAGCCCCTTTAGACAACCAATAATCGACACTCCACGCCTACAAGAACAACAATAGTTAGACATCTTTAAACGCCCCTACACGTAATGTCATCGCATTATATGGATCATACTAATCCAACACTTAGTAAGATAGAAGAATACGTCCATGGAATTGAAGCAGTCTCGACACCTTAGAGTTACAAAGCAATAATACTTGACCATTCCGACTCGTTCACCCTAGATTTCGAACATTAATCTAATTGAGGAATTGCTTCGTCAATTGGCTTCTTCTGTTTTAACTTAAAATACAATTTCCGCAACCTTCGATCCATTTTTGTTTCAAGTATCCATTACAGAATCCATTGAATTTTAGAAACCGTAAAGGTATACTGTGTATTGGCAATTAAATCGGTTGAAAGGAATCGCTTGTGGTCAAAGTCTTTTATTCGTTGATGATTACATTGCATTACCACAGAAAGTAATTGCCGTTCTATAGAAATATAAGTTTGGGAATAAAGAAGTTAAACTAATAGGATGCAATCATTGCATTCTAAATTTAGATATTTACTCTGTACTGTCACAACATAGAAACACTCGAGGGAATGAGGTTGGTGACTAAGTACATTATCTCACCTACTTCAATACGTAATACCATTCTGGTTTATCATCTTATCTCCTAGCTAAACTGTAATGCAATTTAACATTTGACGGTTGACGACTTATTGAAAAGACATGAAAAGCAGCAGCAAATAAATGAAAAATTGATCGAGTAAAGTAAACATCAAACGTCCAAAATCTCATCAATCCAATCACATTCGGTCAATAAAGAGAAAGTTAATATCAAAACGTATGTGTGTCAGAAATAGCTATGGTAATCACTAGACCATTGACTATTACTTGACTTGATCACTGACACGTACAGTAGCACTTACTTGAATTGATTGACATATTGACAAATCTCATAATTTCACTAACTTGATTGACATATCTTACAGTTACAGTCCACTTACTGATTGACATATCTCACATCCAAACTTACTTAATTGACATATCTCACATCCAAACTTACTTGATTGACATATCTCACATCCAAACATACTTGATTGACATATTTCACATCCATACTTGATTGACATATCTCACATCCAAACTTACTTGATTGACATATCACACATCCATACTTACTTGATTGACATATCTCACATCCATACCTACTTGATCGACATATCTCACATCCAAACTTACTTGATTGACATATCTCACATCCAAACATACTTGATTGACATATTTCACATCCATACTTGATTGACATATCTCACATCCAAACTTACTTGATTGACATATCACACATCCATACTTACTTGATTGACATATCTCACATCCATACCTACTTGATCGACATATCTCACATCCATACTTACTTGATTGACATATCTCACATCCATACCTACTTGATCGACATATCTCACATCCAAACTTACTTGATTGACATATCTCACATCCAAACTTACTTGATTGACATATCTCACATCCAAACATACTTGATTGACATATTTCACATCCATACTTGATTGACATATCTCACATCCAAACTTACTTGATTGACATATCACACATCCATACTTACTTGATTGACATATCTCACATCCATACCTACTTGATCGACATATCTCACATCCAAACTTACTTGATTGACATATCTCACATCCAAACTTACTTGATTGACATATCACACATCCATACTAACTTGATTGACATATCTCTAATCCAAACTTACTTGATTGACATATCTCACATCGATACCTACTTGATCGACATATCTCACATCCAAACTTACTTCATTGACATATCTTACATCCATACTTACTTGATTGGCATATCTTACATCCATACTTACTTGATTGACATATCTCACATCCAAACTTACTAAATTGACATATCTTACATCCATACTTACTTGATTGACATATCTTACATCCAAACTTACTTAATTGACATATATCTTACATCCATACTTACTTGATTGACATATCTTACATCCAAACTTACTTGATTGACATATCTCACATCCAAACATACTTGATTGACATATTTCACATCCATACTTGATTGACATATCTCCCATCCAAACTTGATTGACATATCTCACATTCATACTTACTTGATTGACATATCTCACATCAAGAATTACTTGATTGACATATCTAACATCCAAACGTACTTACTTGATTGACATATCTTACATCCAAACTTACTTGACTGGCATATCTTACATCCAAACTTACTTGATTGACATATCTTACATCCAAACTTACTTGATTGACATATCTTACATCCAAACTTACTTTACTGGCATATCTTACATCCAAACTTACTTGATTGACATATCTTACATCCATACTTACTTGATTGACATATCTTCCATCCAAACTTACTTAATTGACATATCTTACATCCAAACTTGCTTAAAAGACATATATCTTACATCCATACTTACTTGATTGACATATCTTACATCCATACTTACTTGATTGACATATCTTACATCCAAACTTACTTAATTGACATATCTTACATCCAAACTTGCTTAAAAGACATATATCTTACAGCCATACTTACTTGATTGACATATCTCACATCCATACTTACTTGATTGACATATCTCACATCCAAACTTACTTGATTGACATATCTTACATCCATACTTACTTGACTGGCATATCTTACATCCAAACTTACTTAATTGACATATCTTACATCCATACTTACTTGATTGGCATATCTTACATCCAAACTTACTTAATTGACATATCTTACATCAATACTTACTTGATTGGCATATCTTACATTCAAACTTACTTAATTGACATATCTTACATCCATACTTACTTGATTGACATATCTTACATCCAAACTTACTTAATTGACATATCTTACATCCAAACTTACTTAATTGACATATATCTTACATCCATACTTACTTAATTGACATATCTCACATCCAAACTTACTTAATTGACATATATCTTACATCCAAACTTACTTAATTGACATATCTTACATCCAAACTTACTTAATTGACATATCATATATCCAAACTTACTTAATTGACATATATCTTACATCCATACTTACTTAATCGACATATCTTTCATCCATACTTACTTAATTGACATATCTTACATCCAAACTTACTTAATTGACATATCTTACATCCATACTTACTTAATTGGCATATCTTACATCCATACTTACTTGATTGACATATCTTACATCCAAACTTACTTGATTGACATATCTAACATCCAAACTTACTTAATTGACATATCTTACATCCATACTTACTTGATTGACATATCTAACATCCAAACTTACTTAATTGACATATCTTACATCCATACTTACTTGATTGACATATCTTACATCCATACTTACTTAATTGGCATATCTTACATCCATACTTACTTGATTGACATATCTTACATCCAAACTTACTTGATTGACATATCTAACATCCAAACTTACTTAATTGACATATCTTACATCCATACTTACTTGATTGGCATATCTTACATCCATACTTACTTAATTGACATATCTCACATCCAAACTTACTTAATTGACATATATCTTACATCCATACTTGATTGACATATCTCACATCCATACTTACTTGATTGACATATCTCACATCCCAACTTACTTGATTGACATACCTCACATCCAAACTTACTTCATTGACATATCTCACATCCAAACTTACTTGATTGACATATCTCACATCCATACTTACTTAATTGACATATCTCACATCCAAACTTACTTGATTGACATATCTCACATCCAAACTTACTTAATTGACATATCTCACATCCAAACTTACTTCATTGACATATCTCACACCCAAACTTACGTGATTGACATATCTCACATCCATACTTACTTGATTGACACATCTCACATCCAAACTTACTTGATTGATATATCTAACATCCAAACTTACTTAATTGACATATCTTACATCCATACTTACTTGATTGGCATATCTTACATCCAAACTTACTTAATTGGCATATCTTACATCCATACTTACTTAATTGACATATCTTACATCCATACTTACTTGATTGACATATCTTACATCCATACTTACTTGATTGACATATCTCACATCTATACTTACTTAATTGACATATATCTTACATCCATACTTACTTAATTGACATATCTTACATCCATACTTACTTAATTGACATATATCTTACATCCATACTTACTTAATTGACATATCTCACATCAATACTTACTTGATTGACATACCTCACATCCATACTTACTTGATTGACATATCTCACATCCAAACTTACTTAATTGGCATATCTTACATCCATACTTACTTGATTGGCATATCTTACATCCAAACTTACTTAATTGGCATATCTTACATCCATACTTACTTAATTGACATATCTTACATCCATACTTACTTGATTGACATATCTTACATCCATACTTACTTGATTGACATATCTCACATCTATACTTACTTAATTGACATATATCTTACATCCATACTTACTTAATTGACATATCTTACATCCATACTTACTTAATTGACATATATCTTACATCCATACTTACTTAATTGACATATCTCACATCAATACTTACTTGATTGACATATCTCACATCTATACTTACCTAATTGACATATATCTTACATCCATACTTACTTAATTGACATATCTTACATCCATACTTACTCAATTGACATATATCTCACATCAATACTTACTTAATTGACATATCTCACATCAATACTTACTTGATTGAGGTTCTTCTGGTTTCCAGTTTCATCAGATCGTGAATAAAGAGGACTGTTATGTCCTGTAAATGGTTCCCAGCTGCCATGAAGATCGTACGCCATCAAATTAATAAAATCCAAATACCTGAAAAAGTAGCCAAAATTTAAATTCGTTGCATTTGATAGTATTATCTGAGAATAACATAATACCTCAAAACCGGTGTAAAAGTGTAGGAGGTCCTTTCAAATTATGGTCCTACTTTCCATTGATTTATATGGTGACCTAAATACAACTCTTTCCCTTATTATTGTATCTACAATCAGGGCCAGTAAGGGCCTTTAAGAAAGGGGACCATTATCCCTAGGGGATTTTACACCGGGCTCAAAGCTTTGAGGCATGCTGGTAGTTTCAGGGTTGTTAGACAATTTAACAAATACGTCTCTGGAATCTGGATACTTGCACAGGGAGCACCATGATTTATCAGAGCCTCTCTTTTCCAACGTTTGAGAGAAATGTGCAGGCCCGTAGCCAGAATTTTCAAGGGGGGGGGAGTTCACTTTTCCAAAAAATTCTAGGAGGGGGGTCACTTTGGCAAATTTGGCCAAAAATGACTCAAAAATAGTCAGAATGGTGAAAACTGCATGATTTTGAAAGATTTCGCCCGAACCCCCCGAACCCCCCCCCTGGCTACGGGCCTGATGTGTCTCCAACATGTCCAAATGGATGGTAGAGGCTGTGGATCCCAAAATGCACGGGAAGCAATATTACAAAAACAAAACAAGAGAGGTTCAGGAGTATTCCCGATTATTTTCTAGAGCTCAGAAAACAAATTTGTAATTTAGTTTTTTACACACTTGGATTATATGAATTGACATGACATCACCTGACATCTGAATTGAAATTAATCCAATAAATCCATTCGCTAACTCAACAGAGATCTTTGAGCTTATTGAATAGAAGTTAGTTAAGTGCTAAAATAAGAAAAGAAACTCATCAAAAAGGTTCATCAACCGAACGGTAGTTGTTAAATTATTGTTAAATTATTGAGGACACGCCCCGTGAGTATAAATGTAGGCCATCATTCCGAAAGTAAAGTAATTGTTTCTGATTAGAGCTCCTTTATTCCTGTCTGGGGTAATGTAAAGGGAACACAAGCAGTGATCTATGGATTGTTTAATACAGGAAATTCATATTTTGCTATCAATTTCAATTAAGGTAAACATTGCTCGAATAAGTGACGATGGTGCGAAACAGGGCACCAATTAAGTTAAAAGCATTAACTTCCCGCTAACAACAGTTTGAGGCAGCATTATACTCAATCTCCATTAATCAAAAACTAAAAATGGGTCACATTTTTCCTGAGACAATTTTGAATCATCGCCGTTTCGGAACTGAAGACATGTGTAATTCATTACCTTGTCAATGCTGGTATATCATATCCTCTGTCGATGTTTCCCTTTCCAGCAGGAACTGCGGCTGTGACTAATAGGCGATCGTGTTTACTCGTTGACGACTCATCTTCGAATGCTTCGCGAAGTTCCTTAAAAACGAAATCAAATGTTAATGAAAATTTTCTTCATTTGTCAATTCAAAGGCCCTTGAAAGCCCATGGCCAAATCAAGGACATTAGAATCAAAGGAAAACTAATGTCCACTCTGATTACGCACAATTTCCCCGTTAGCAACTATGCATTCTACGTTTTTACGTATGATAAATGAATGAATTTAAATTAAAAATGATGATTTGAGAACATTGACATATTTTTGCCTCGTACTGTGTGGTTGGAACATTGACTTTTTTCAGAAGTTAAAGTTTGTTAACATGCAAATGAAGACATAGCTTAGACATCATTATCTGAGAGGGTTGTGGTATTATGTCATCTTACCTTGATAAGTGCAATGAATCGCTGCTTGTCAACAACCGGACTCCCTCTTGATCCAGGGTACTCCCAGTCAATATCTAAACCATCAAATCCCCTGTTACGGAGAAATCGGATGGCGTGATCAATGAACTTTTTTCGAGATTGCGGGGATGCGACCATTGCTGTAAACGGTGCTGAGCCCATATTCCAACCCCCAACAGCAATAAGCGTTTTCAAAGATGGATTCTTTTTCTTGAGATCATTAACCCTCTGATACATGCCTTTGGACCAACTAGTCGAGTCATCGTTCCACTCAAATGGTGCCAGGCGTCCATTTACCATTTTAGCAAATGCATATACGACATGGGTACAGAGATTCGCATTTATGTTTTCAGGATAGAATTTCCCGCCATTTGGGCGATATTGGGCCCAATTCGTGTAGTAGCAGACGACTTTGTATTTTTCATTGACGTCAGATGGTAAATTGCGCCCTAGTGAGGAATCAACGAAACTCAAAAGAATAACGAGCCCCGCTATAACACGAAACATCTGAAATAAAATCAATACATTCTAGATAAAAATAACTGAATACCCTTTGTTAACTTCAAAAAGGGTATTCAGAAACATATTTTCAAATGTTACTACCCGATTCCATCTCAACATCTGAAACTAGCCCAAAAAATAAAACCGGTTCGCTTTACTTAATATTCCACAGTATTACCTCATTCAACAGGTTGATCTGATTTAATGAGTCGGTTCACTTTAACCATCTTACCATTAGCTGCTTTTGATGCAACGAATATAAAAATCAAATAAACGATGTCTGATGCTTGTAGATTCCCAGTCTTGTACCTATTTGTAGTCGAGGAATCGTGTTTTTCTTATTTCAAGTGTGGGTGACTAATATAGTGTTAATAAGTGACTATCATCCTTTTAGTCACGTTTTAACTAGTTGTTGCTGTCCATCAACTTTGTCTGTGGTTTGAGTGAGCCTAGATTTGAATTTAGTAAACATTGCTTTGTTTTGATCTTATATAGCATACCAGTCGGAAATAAACTTAACCTTGACAGTTGTCGTGGGCAATGTTCAAACGGACGTCACATCCCTGCTACATCCATCTTACATACCTCTCTACATGATATCTTTAGAATTAGCACTTATAATCTGATAATACTAAAAGTGAATCATCCAATATATGGATATGGATGTCATAAGTTAATAAATGACAATATACAGTACGATGATCGAACTGATATTATACGTAAAACATAAATGGAAACGGTGAAGATGAAATACTGCCTTGAAAAACGACGACATACTAGATCCAAATCAACCCAAATTAATTAAGTCGTTTGATATTAATCTAATATTACATTACAAACTCGAGTGAGTCATGCATTTGATAGAAAGGGAATACTGCAAAAGATAATTCAATCGGCTTTATCATCCATAAATGGAAGCAAGATTTGAAGTGAACGAAATCTTAACATTAAAAAAGTGCATAACTTGACTAAGGCAGAGACATGTTTTATATGTCTCTGACTAAGGTCAATCATCGCTCTGAAATTAAATGGATGGTTTCAGGTTCAGGTTTTTCAGGGCGACATTCTCTTTCGATGATACGATTGAAAATCAGTAACGGTCGGCGTATTTTGGCAGAACTCAGACAATTTCACATCTTTAAGAAAAAAGTTGTTTCAAATATTGCCCTTAGTTCCTCGCACCACACAATGCGGCTATACTGGTCGTACTTACTTTGATCTATATGACGCTTACGACCTCTTGTTTTACCACAAATTTCAAATCTTTATCTAAATGTTATTTGCTGTATGTCAAAAGATAAGTACATAATACTACAACCTCTTACAGAAATGACACACATAGAGAGCAATCAAACAATATAACAAATGACAGTTTAATAATGCACTTTTGTGACCTCTCGGGGAATCGAGTAATATCCCTGATCAAATTCACGGTGTATAACCCAAACGCTCCTACATGCACGACGGAGCGTTCCATTACTGAAATTAAACAAAGAAACGCTCCGGAGTAGGAAAACTGGCTGGCGGGAATGATGAGCCGTCTGACGATTTCCCCAATAATGGGAATAAGAGGTATGAGTTCCATATTTCGAGTATACCATTCGATGGGTGTGATATTCATGTTGTACTTGGCTGGCTGTTGACGTTTGAAGCAAGTAGGAAGAGCTGTACGAAGCAGTATAGTTATCAAAATTCAAAAACGTATTTGTCATTCTACCGGTCAAAACCCCTTTTGTCGAAACATGTGATTAGTTGAGCCAAAATTAGAGAACCAACGTATATTTTAATCAAATTCCAATGCTTCAACGCACCATACATCATCGTAATAGTGATTTGATGACCGAAAATCCAGTCTGAAAAATGATGACATTCTCATATTCAAGAAACGCTCCGATCTGGTTAACACAGTGAACTGGAAACGCTCCGGTAGTCTAGATCAGTTTAGGAAATATATAGCTTGCCTTTCCTTTTCAGGAAGAGAAAGAAAAGATCTATTATACCCCTTGGCATCAAAAGAAGAAAGATTAATTCACATATAAATTTTAGTTTTTTTTCTATAGTTTTATGATTTAGCACACATGTAGGCATGACATCATCTAATGTAGGCTTAAATCAGCTAGTTGCACATTTAGCACCACCAGGTTCAGATGTTTCAATTTGCCTAACAAGTACAACACGTTTTTGAGAGATAGATTCAATTCGGAACTCTTCTCTAATAATCTGAAAATGATATCAAAACAAAATGGTAAGAGCGTTTCTAAAATTGTGTTCTAAATCGACGGAGCGTTTTGAGGAAAACAAGCGATTTTTCGAGAACAAGTAATGGATTTGGACTGGGATTTTAGGAAATGAGAATATACGAGTTTGTGATCTACTACTTTAACAGAAAGATTAACGTTTTCATAGAAATACTAGTTTAATTCGTAATTTGTGGTCAAATCGTCATCTTCAGATTCGTTCGATCTACACTACGGAGCTTTGATCAAGCAAATAACAGTTTACCACCAGAAGTTGAATAAATAAGATCTTTGCTCACGGTATTGTTCATCGAATGGTACATAATATTTCACCATAACATATGATATGTAAGAGAAACGAGAGAAACAATACTTACGGTCATAGTGGAATCTTCATTAGCCGCCATTTTATTTCGCTCCGGAGCGTTTCCGCGTAAATGAAACGCTCCGTCGTGCATGTAGGAGCGTTTGGGTTATACACCGTGAAATTGACGTAAACCTCATCAAATATTTTACAATTCACATCCTTCCTACACTTCTGGAAGAATCGCCAATTTGATATATTGGGTACTCGAATAATCAGATAATGGAACTGCCGCTCACCGGTACCGTTTTTGTTGGCACATGTTGTGTTTATGATTAGTACCAGGTACAACACCTGTCTAAAATAGGATCTTTTATTTAATCTTTAAAATGCGACTTTATTGGTTTTGATATACAGTGAAACCTGTAAAGTGGAACACTTCTAAGAGTGGAACACCTCTGTTAGATGAACACTTTTCAGAGTCGAGTCCAAAGAACATGACTTAATGATAAATGAGCATCTTTATGTATAAGTACATTGCACGTATCACATTTTCATAACATTTGACTACATGTGCAATATTAGTGAATGTTTTTAGATTGTTCTTACAGCTCCAACAGACTGAAACGTGACAGCGAATTCAGCAACTACCACGTGACTGTTACTTCATGAACTGATAGACTTGATATCAAATAAACAAAATTGTGCTAAATATGAATGTCAGCAACGCTCTGATCAACATCCATACCACAAACACAACCATTAACGAAACTGACTTAATCAACAACAATGGCACACGTTTTAATCTAGTTAACAAAACAATGCAAATTGTGTTTGTGGCAATTGGCGCGATCGGGAACGTCACGGAAAGGAGCAACTCTCACAACTGACATTCTGATACTCAGACCATCTCTGCTATGCAAACTAGAAGGAAACTGAGAGAAGGCTGTGATATCTCAAGGTGGGCAACTGAAGACAATTTTACAGTTTCGCATAACTTTGACGCAAATATGATATGAAGTAGCTGCCTTAGTCGTCTCTCAAAGTAGCGAAATGATAGTCACACTATTGTAAAGGGTCTGAAACAGTTCCCATATTATACTATTTGAGTGAAAGGTCTTCTCTCACGAATAATTCATATCAGTGTGATAGACCCGTAGAACGTACACGTCCTTGTTGGGGAGGTGTGTAGCGTGTGTGTGTGTGGGGGGGGGGGTCAAAGGGCTTGTAGCTAGACTACCCCCATATAGTGAATCCAAATAAGGTGAATGTTCCCTATAGGCTACAGTTTGTTTTTCATAGAGATAAACTTATCAAATAGACAAGTCATCATTTAGATTATCAATCATATATGGCCCCTGTCTAGATTGCTAATTCCGTTTAAAGATCAGATCAAAATATAATTTGTCTTCTGTAAATATCTTAGTGTCATGATAGTTGCTTAAAGTGGTCTACAATCTATCAAGAAAAGCTACAAATCGATCGTTTCTTATTACCTTCACTGCTGTAACCGACTCATCATAAAATTTGAAATCAAATGTTCGCCATTTTCCACATCACAATTTGAATTGCGAGTTTTGGTCTTATTACCTCACCCAAAATTCCAAAACACACATGAAGTGATCAGTGTATTTAATTTAGTTTACATACAGCCAGTTACCAATGTCAGACAATAACGACATTCCGTCCAGTTTTCGAATATTGCCAATTGGCTAGAGACTCGAGTAAGTAAGTAAGAAGAATTGGCTAGAGACTCGAGTAAGTTTCTTATTACTGTTGTTTCTGACTTAGCAAACTCGTTTTTTATTTATATTATCTATATAAGTTAGGACGTCTACCTCATAAGGCTCTTCTGGGAACTACAGGGTGGTCTAAAAAGTAGAACATTACATAAATGTATGTAGAAAATTTATTTCTCTAGCTAAATACACCAAAATATTACTGTTCTTTCTAATATACATCTACGTCATCATTACGTCAGCATTAACTTCAGTTAGAGTCACTCTAAGTGAAGCCATTTTCTTTAAAATTCTCAAAATATCGCGGTTGTTTGAGCATTTATTTGTGGTTATTTACCATTGTAGCTCTAAGTATTAATTTTATGGCGAAACATTTGGAATCCAGATTCAACTTAGTTTAGCTGAATCGGAGGTTTATCGAAAAGTGCAGTTAGTTATCCACCAGCTGTGGAACAGTGATTTTAGAGGATAAATAAATGTACTGCGTACGATGTTCCAGTTTTTTGACCATCCTGTAATAAGGGTATTACGTTGGATCAAGGGGAAAATCAAGAGGGGGAGAAACCTCAGAGTTCAAAGATGACATTCGCTTATAATGTAAATCTGTATTGAGATGACATCGTCGCTGATTGATTTAGCGAGTCGATCGTTGATTGGTTTAAAACTAGGTCAATTTGAAAACTTTGAAAACCAAGATGGATGGTAAGTACTTCCGGGAAAGGAGATGCGCGAAGGAGGAAATCGTATGTCATCAATTGAATCATGGGGTTTTCCCTCCTCTTGGAAAAATCAATACCCGATGATTTCAGCGGGAAGTGGCGTTTCGTTCAGTGGATGAGCTGCGCGCGCACGTATAAATGTGATTATCCAAAAGAGGGGGATTAACCCCAGAGTTCGCAGATGACAGACGCTTATAATGTAAACCTGTATTGAGATGACCCACGTCTCTGATTGGTCAAAACGATAAACAAAATGGCGGATTCAAAATTTTCTAATAACGTTTCGAATAATATTATGTTAATAAGATCGATTTAGAATATTTTGTTTTCTCTATTTAAAGCCATTTCTTGGAAAATTTTCGATTTGACAATGGGTTGTGTTATGTTATGATTTGGTCGAGTGGCTGGCACGAGTTTGTACCCAATCAGGTGAGGTGTCGGATTGTGCCCGGTTGTGGTTGTGTGATTGATGTTGTCTCTGGTTGGAGAAAGCTGGATGTATATATTAGTGTATCAGTTTGGTTGTGTTATATCGTATTTGGTGTTGGGTTGTGTCAATTGTGTTGT